GGAAATAAAGGTTTTGGGTAATTTATGCAATTAGGCTATTATATCTGAATTCTTGTAATTCCATCATCAATTCTGCTAAAACACCTGTTTAGAGAATAAACCGCTATGTTATTAAGACCTATTGATATGTATAGAGAAGAAAATAAACTTGAGTGCATCCATATCGCATATATATAGAAAGAGACCTGTTCTAAAGGAGTTTAGTTTAGTTATAGGAGAATAGCTTAAAGGAGGTGCTACGTCAACACAAAGTATTATATTATACGTAGATCTGCCACAGGGTGTTTATACAAGTAATGTCACATACAACGTGACTAGAGAAGGATATGCAAATGAGATACAGGATAATTTGCAACATGTAGAAGAATACTGTAGAATAGGTATAGCTATTGGATATGACGGGGAGAGTAAACCTCAGTAGGGTAGATAATAAATAAACTTAGGAGGCACATAAGTGCCAAATATATGAGTATCTTTCATATGGGGAGAGGCCAAGGACTTATTCCCCTAGGTAAGTCATTACAAGACAACATTCTCATATGGAAAATGTGTTAAGGGGAAGGATAATTATGTGTGGTCAAGGATGCAAAAAACTCTAAAGTGCATGTAGTATATTTCATAATAAGTTTAAGTAAGGAATAAGTTCCTTATTTGTCTTACCTGTTTGTCTCTATTATGCCATTTAGCTAGAGGTGGGTGTAGGGGCCAGTTTTCCTCCAAAAAGTGTTAAGAGTTTAAGCATTTAGAACAGCATCTTAAACTCTGGCCCCCAAATGTTGCTGAACTTTAATTCCCATGATTCTCATGCCCTCCATTGCATTCAAAGAATTCTGGTAGTAGGACATCAACATCTTGGAGCTAGAGTTTGAGATCCCTGATTTAGAAGGATGTGCCATACAAATAAGGCATGTGCACCCAGTTATGCCAATCTGTTTTTTCAGCTCAACATCCCGTCAAGAGCAAAGTATGTCAATCGTGTCCTGAAATAGTATCGCTACATTGATAATGTGCTATTATTTTCAACAGGGTCAGTGGCACTTTTTTGAGGAAATGGTTAATGATCTCAGAGTTATGAAATTGTTTTGAAACTTATTCATGGCATTGACGATTTTTAGATCTTAAGATCCTGCTTTTGGAGGATGGTATGGTAGAAACTACTCTACAGAAAATCTACTTCTATGAACAGCCTTTTACATTGACCCATCTTACTGCGCAACACTTACCTCAAAGATATTCTTACCCCATTTACCAGCGATTACGGAAAGAAGTGCAAAGAATCTATGTGATCTTCTGGTCCACAGCTACATCGAGACCCTGCAACCTTCTTCCAACTGGCTAACACCCACCAATGGGAATGTTGGCTGCAGGCACTGTTAGTTTATCAAACCTCCACAATTTGTGATTTGCAATCAATGTTTGGAGAAAGTATATATTTCAAGGAATTTGTCAATTGCAGTCCCACTTTGCTGGTATACTTAATCACCTACAGTTACAGGCTGTAATATATTGGGAAACATACCAAATGTTTCAATGGAGGATTGTGCATCCTGTCAATTCTATCACTAACATGAATGTATCAATATCTATTGTTCAACACGTGAGAACTGAGTAATTGAAAAACTAAAATTCTTTATTTTTATTGTGCATAGAGTAACAAACAGGCTGGTAATGCCACAACAACATGTACAAGCATATTGTAAGCTAACATAGATACAACATCAGGGTGTGTGAGTGAGATGCACTTTTTATATTCATTAAACAAGCTGAACTATAGTGCAAAACCTTTGATTAACAATTGAGTTAAGTTAAAGGAGTGCAAGGTAACGAGCCGACACGATAGGTTCACATGCTAACTTATCAAAAAAACATTTAATTATTCATGTTGGTTGATCTAATTGACATACGAGTTAGAGTATGCTCATAGCTGGTACTTAACAGGTTGGGCCACTAATTCATAATAACAAACTTCACTAGGTACACTGCTTAGTATTTGTAATCAGGCTTGGTCATACAGCTAGGGACAATTGGTCCCCAATTGATAAACCCCAGGAGGCCCCTTAAAAGCTGTTTAGTGAGGAGCAGAACTGGGCAACCCAGGGTGTTTGAGTGAACAGTAGGGAAAACAATCCTGCCATCTAAAGTAGGTCTCGAAGGAGGGAGCTGCATAATAAAGCAAGTGTCCAAACAGTGTTAGTGAAGCAGGCAATGCAGATGCACTATGCCAGTGTAAGTCTCTCTCCTATGTTGCTGATCAGCCTACGCCTTTTGTGGGCAGAGTACAGACCTGTGCCGACAGGCAGCAGCTCGGGTTAGTCAGTCCATGTGGAGATGAACACTCGGTGACAGGTTGGTGGGAGAGTGGACTCATGTGCGTCGGCATCGGTACTTACAGGCTCCAGTAGACTGCCGTCTTGCACTTGCTGCCTCCTGAAGGATTCCTAGTCACCTGCCTCCTGATGATTTCCCGCCGGCTCCGTCTTCCCAGGTGTGCCGGTGTCAGAGGTGTTGTTGCGGACTTCTGTTTGGCTATGCTAGGGGGAGTGCGCGGCAGGGTTCCAGGCTTGTTCTTAGAGGTTTTTGGGAGCAGAAGAGCCTCCAGCTTCTCCCAGAAGGTTTGAAAAGTTTTGTCCAGTCCGAGCTCCACGACGGACTGCTCGCATCGAGAGCTGAATGAGCACACTGCCTCCACCATTTTGAGTGCAGTGTTTCTGCTTGTTTTGAGCCCCTGTGTCGCTGCAGCACTTTTGCCAGGAAGCGCAAGGGTCTCCATTAGACAGACCAGGATGACCCCCACAGGTCCAGGGGGGGGGACGTGGGACTTGTAACCATTTTCAAGCTATGGATGCCAGCGGGGGAGCGTCCGTCTCCCACACGCCGACCCCAATTGGTTTATGATAAAGGTTTTGCCTAGGGCAACTTCCCATTTCCCCATGTACCCAGGGGAACAGAAGGGATACGGTATGTGGCTGTGGGTCGGGATCGACATACTGTTGCTCAAAGGAGGTGAGTGTCCTGGTTATGTCAGATCATTGGGGGATCTGTCTGAGGAACTTGCTCAACTGCTCGTATTTGAGTGTATGAATGCCCCCTTGGTTTCCCCCATTATGTCTCTTAGTGTCTTGAGCTCATGTCCTGTGAACATATGGCAAGCATTGACCTGGCCATTCGGGAAGAAGCATGCGTATGGTCTACCCTCCAGTCCTGTGTGAACGTCGGGATCGTTGGTGATCGGGTAAAAGGGAGATGGGAACGATGTGAGGTCAGTCTGGGTGCTTTCCTGTGCCATATCTCCAATGTGGCTGTAAGGCATGGCTGCTGGCCTGATTTCCACCTACTTGCCTTGGGGTTCATTCATATTAGTGCTGGCAAAGACCCGCTCATTTGAGCCCACTCTACATCTTTACATAACTTGTCCACCCCGTCCTTGGCCCACTCCATTACCCTCTGCAGGTGGGAACTGCCAACCCTCCTCAATCTTCGGTTTAGTCAGTGTTTGATATCGCAGCCGAGGTCATCGAGTGACCGATTAGTAAATTATAATTAATGATCGGAGCGATGTGAAATATGTGGTCGGGATCCGGATAGGAAGCGTCTGAAACAGGTAGTGGACTCGCGGCAAGATGTTCGTTTTTACCACAGCGATACGTCCCAACCAGGAGATATGTGGTAATGTCAAATTGGCCAGGTGCATGTAGTTGGGAGAGGTCTCTCGGGATCCAGACACCCAGGTACGTCACAGCCCTCTCCAACCATTGGAATTGGAAGATGTTGCACACTCCAGCGGACTTAGCAGTGGACATGGAGACATTGAGCAGAGTCGATTTGGCATAGTTGATTTTGAAGTTGGAGAGTTCCCCGTAAGTCATGTTCTGGGCAAAGTAGTCCGTCTGGGCAATGTGAGCTTCTTGTGAGACTAGTGGGTTGTCTAGGAGTGTCTCGTTCAGTCACCAGTTGGTTGTCTTGGGTCTGGAGAGTGGGGAAGATCGATTTCACGCATGATGGTTGGTAGAGTGGTCTCGGGGAAGGCAACGAAGAACATCAGGTCATCCGCGTATGCAGCCACCTTGTGTTTGCTGTTTCTTGTCCGTACTCCTTGGATCTCTGGGTTTTGTCTCATCGCCTGCAGGAGTGGTTCAAGCGCCAGGGCAAACAGCAGCGGCGATAGCGGAGAGCCCTGTCGTGTGCCGTTTCTAATGCGGAAGGGCTCAGTATATGCCTAGTTTATGCAGATCCTCGCCATCAGATCGTCGTAGTGGGCTGTCACCTAGGCTAGCATGTGTGGGCCCAGCCCAAGAACTCGTAATGTGTGAAAGAGGTAGTCCCAGCCCACCCTGTCAAAGGCCTTCTCTGCATCCGCGGATAGCAAGAGAAGGCTCTCATCAGTTATCTGAGTCTGGTGTATCAGGGAGATGACCCGTGTGGTGTTGTCTCTCGGTTCCCGATGGGGGATGAAGCCCACCTGGTCAGATTTCATGAGGTCGGGTAAGTGTGGGTTCATTCTAGTAGCCAGGATCTTCGCAAATAATTTTAGATCGCAGTTTAATAATGAGATGGGCCGGTAGCTGGCACATACTTCCAGGTCTTTGCCCTCTTTGGGAATTAGAGCGACATTAGTGGCCCAGGTGTGTGGGGGAAGCCTCTGTCCTTCCATGAGTTCAACGTCCTCAGGAGTTGTGGGTATAATACGTCTGCAGTGAATGGGCAGACCGGGCTAGGGCTTTTGCCAGGTTACTGTGGCCACCAGTTCCTCTAGGGTCAAAAGTGCTTCTAACGTCCTTTTGGCATCTTCCGTCAGTTCCGTGTGGATATTAGCTTCCAGGTAAGCGTGGATGGCTTCTATCTTTCGGCTTGGACTGGGGTGATTCCTAGCCATCTCCGTTGAGTACAGATTTTTGTAATATGAGAGGGCCACCTTGGCGATGGCGTTGGGCAACCGTTGTACCTGTCCTCAATGGTCCCGTAGCTGGGCGATGTAAGACTTCCATTTCTGTTTGTTAATCATTCGGACAAGCAATCTGCCACATCTGTTGCTGTGCAGGTAGAAGTGAGCTTTGGTGTGTTGGAGGGAGCGCAGGTGACGCTGGTGCAGGAGGGTTGACAGTTCAACCATAGTGTGGCTAGATCTTAGAAGGTAGCTAGAGTCTGCTGGGACTTGTGTAGGAGTTCCCATCTTTGAATGTCTTTGGTCAGCTGACGTACGCCCTCTTCCCTTTTGATCCTAGCTCCCCATTCCATAAAGAATCCCCAAATGGTGCTTGTGCGCTTCCCAGATGTTTGGGGTCAAGACCTCAGAAGTCGTGTTCTGGGCGAAGTAGTCCGTCTGGGCAATGTGAGCTTCTTGTGAGACTAGTGGATTGTCTAGGAGTGTCTCGTTCAGTCACCAGTTGGTTGTCTTGGGTCTGGAGAGTGGGGAAGTCAGGCTCATGAAGAGCATGGTCAGGCCGTAGGCGGCCCTATGTACTGTGTGGAGGTAGTAGTAGGGGACGAAGAAAATTTACCATTAATGACAACTCTTTGTACTCTATTTTTAAGCCAATGTTCCACCCAAGAACAAGCATTTTTATCTAGACCGATTTTTCTTGAGTTTGAACATTAATCTATTGTGTGGAACTGAATCAAATGCTTTGGCAAAATCCAAATAGATCACATCCACTGCAACACCCTGATCTATACTTCTACTTACTTCTTCGTAGATCGCAATCAAGTTAGTTTGACATGACCTGTGCTTCAAAAAAAACATGCAGATTTTTGCTGGTAACCATGTTCTTCTCAAGGAATTCTTGAATATTATCCCTTAATAACCTTTCAAATATTTTCCCAGCCACAGAAGTTAAGCTCACAGGTCTATAATTTCCAAGTAAGGATTTTGAACCATTTTTGAATATAGGAACCATATCTACCTTCCTCCAATCCTCCGGAACACTTCATGAAAGAAAAGAATCTTGAAAGATTAAAAACAGAAGTTCACTTATTTGTACACTTAGTTCCTTAAGTACTCATGGATGGATACCGTCAGGCCCTGGAGCTTTGTTTATATTAACTTTCTTTAGTTGCTGCAGCACCTTGTCTTGAGTTAACCAATTACAATTATTCTGCAAGTTTTTAGTAGCAATCATTTGCACATCTATTGCCATGGGTTCTTCCTTAATATATACGATGGAGAAATAGTTATTTAAAATTCCTGCCTTTTCCTGGTCTTCATTAACTTTACCATTTCAGGTTTTAGTGTACCTACACTTTCTTTTCTTTTTTTCTTTTTTTCTTTTTTTAATTTATGTACTTAAAGAATGCTTTGGGGTTGGTTTTGCTCTCTTTGGCTACCATTTTTTAATTTTGAAGTTTAGCAAATCTAATCGCCTTTTTGCACGCATTATTGGCTTCCTTATATCTTTTTATAGGATGCATCTGATTTGTCCGATTTAAATGCTTTAAATGCCCTTTTCTTATTTTTAATCTCTTGTTTTACTTATCTACTAAGCCACATTGGTTTTAATTTGTTTCTTTTATATTTATTTCCCAATGGTACATACTGAGAAATGTAACTTTCTAATATTTGTTGGAAGATGATCCATTTATCCTCAGTGTTCTTTTCACTACAGAGTTTATGCCAGTCAATATATTGTAAAGCTGCCCTTAACTTATATAAATTGGCCTTTTTAAAATTATATGTTTTAGTATACCCCATGCGCTTTTGTTTTTTTTGAGTTTATTTCAGAGGACACTATATTGTGATCACTATTTCTCAAGTGCTCACCTATGCTTCCCCATAGAATTGGTTGAGACTCTCAAGGAGGCAGATTACAAGCCAACACAAGTCAAACACAGCCCTGGCCAAACAGCATCTCCTCATTGAATGAATTGAATCAATGCATCTCTATGTGGAAAGTTCAGTGTCTGCATGCAGAGGGTGCAGACACTGAATGGCAGTGCTGCTCACTGTTCAGTACTGACCCAGGAAGCACCTCTAACAGCCATCTGAGGAGTGGCCAGTGAAGGTCACTAGGCTGTAATGTAAACACTGCTTTTTCTCTGAAAAGACAGTGTTTATAGCAAAAAGCCTGAAGGGAATGATTCTACTCACCAGAACAAATTCAATAAGCTGTAGTTGTTCTACTGACTATAGTGTCCCTTTAATTTTAGTACATGTGTATTTGTATTTTTTTTTTTATATGGCCCCACTCATGCTCTATAACTTTTCTTGTTTTTTTTTTCCTGCATGGACACAATTAATACCTATACAAATATTTCTAACGTGTCTCTTTTTAAAAATATATACATTTTTAAATATACTCTCTCTCTCTCTCTATATATATATATACGTACATATATAGGGTCTCATTAGTCAGTTCAGACGAATGGTGCATACAAGATATGTGACTACGAGTCATGTTGCCCTTGAAGGCATAGTTGGTGAGGGAAAGACTATCGGAGAGCTGTGAAATCTCTGTATATTATCACATTCATTTTGTCCTCTGTGGCTGTTTCTGTTTCCCTATATGTCTTTACATCCTCTAGTGGTGATCTTTATACCCTGAGTCCTCTCTACATTCTAGCTATATCTAATGGCGGGATCACTCTTCTATAATCTTTGAATGCTATGTTTTTATCTGCACTGACAGGATTATACTTGTTCTCCCTATCTTGCCGTGATTTATACACACTGCTGCTTATTCTGCATTAATGTTATTGACTTGCTGGATTATTTTTCTACCACCCCTTGTTGAGCTGTTTTTGGACTGTTTTTGGACTGAGTTTTTATTAAGCCTTATAAATAAAAGTTACACTTTATCTTCTATATTTTTATGCTGGGATTCATTACCTCTTTTACTACTCCTAGCACTATATATGATATTAGTTCTATTCATTCTTTGCGTGTTTTGGTGCAAATGAGAGTTTGAACCTCTAGAGCAGGGGTTCCCAATTAATCTTTCCCGTGGAACCCTTTGACATAGTGTATCAACATCGTGGATTATTATTTTTTTTTTTTACATTTTACTCCCTTGGGTCCAGTGGGGCGGCTGAGCTGCTGGCGTACGGGCAGTGAGGGAGCAGTGATCTCCCTACTCAGCTCCCTCGTGCGCCTCTTAGTGATGCCGGAGCCGGAGTGACGTCATATTCCGGCTCCAGTATCACTGCTGTGTGTGTGAGCAGGGAGATCACTGCCCACTGCTCCCTCGCCAACCGCAGCCATTTTATTTTTTAAACTTTTGGCGGAACTCCAATTGGTTCCGTGGAACACCAATTGGGAAATGCTGCGCTAGAGTGTAAGGGAGATGCGATGTAGACATGTCTCCGATGACTATTCCAAAGAATGTTTGGGCATTACTTGGCCATTATACACAGTACTTAAGCTAAGTCTGAATAATATTTCAGGTTAATCCCCAGACTGGCAGCTGTGGAGAATTAAATGATCAGAAAGTCATCCAGATAGTGATATATCTCAATGTTCTTTGTCCTTATAAAAGCCACGAGGGAAATGAGAATCTTTGAGAATGTCCTTGGAGCTAAACTTAAGCTGAAGAGAAGTCCCTTGAATTGGTAATGTTTTCCTTAGATCCAAAATCTGAGGAACTTGCGATGACTGTAGTGAATAGGGATCTGATAATAGGCGTCTCTTAGATCGATAGACGTCATCCAGTTTCCAGTCTTTATATTTGGAAGGATAGTAGCGATAGACTCCATCTTGAATGTTCTTGTTTTCAACTTTGTATTCAAGGTTTTCAGATCCAATATTAACTTCCATTTCCCCTAAAGCTTTGGTGCCAGAAATATGGTAGAGTAATGGCCCCTGAAACGTTCTTCGCAAGGAACTTCTTCTATCACCTGATTCCCCAGTAGCTGTGAAATACAGTTCCTCATAGCAATATCTTCTTTCCCTTTGGCTACCTGAGAACGAATGAAGACCCTCTTTGTTGGGAAATAGTTGAATTTGATCTTGTAACCTTACCTTAGAATTGAAAGAACCCAGGAATCTTGAATGTTTTCGATCCCTCCTATAACACCTGACTTGACCTGCAAACGTTCAGAAGCTCTTATTGTTTGGCCTAGATCCTCTTCCCCTAGCTGGTTTAGATGAGGTTGATTGATAACTTCTCCAGTTAGCATTCCTGGAATATTCCCTTCCGGGCCTATATGCTCTACTGTCCCTAAAGGATCGGTCTCTGAGTTTCTTATCTTTCCAGGAAGATGCACCAAATCTTTTTCCTTGAGGGAGAAAAGTATTTCCCCCCATCAGTCACTTTGTTAATGGCATCCTCCAGTACCTTCCCAAAAAAGTAAGTCACCTTGAAAAGGGAGTGCACATAGAGAGGCTTTTGAAGCATAACCTGTTACCCAAGAGAGTAGCCATAATGCTCTTCTTGAGTCCACAGAAAGAGCCATGCTTTTTGCTACCATCTTGGTAACATCCAGGGAAGCTTCTGAGCAAAATTCAGTAGCTAACTTCAAATCTTTGAGGCCTTCCATCAGGTGTTCTCTACGGACTCCTCTATTGATGTCTTCCTCCAGATTCTCGATCCAGACTTTTAGAGCTCTGGATATAGTTGTTAGGGCTATCGCTGGATGCAAGGCTGAACCCAGAGCCAGATAGTCTTTTATAAGATTGCTGTCCAATCGCTTTTCCATTGGCTCTCTCAAATACGCCATGGAGTTTATGGGAAGTGTTGTTCTTTTCGCCATGTGAATGACTGCTGCGTCAATTTTCTGAACTGAAATACATGACTTGCAGTCCTCATGAGCATAAGTGTATAATTTGGACGTCTTGCTCTTTAGAGTCGTTTTTCTATTAGGTCTATTCCATTCTTCATGGAGAACATGCTTGATAGCAGAGTGTACCGGAAACGAAGGTCTGTTAGTTTTAAGATCCTCCAAATATCTGTCAGACTCTTTTTTTATCTGGACTTTATTCTGGAATTCTTAAGGTGTCTCTGACCAGATAAACCAGCTTATCCATAGCCCTGGAATCCAGGGATTTTGAGGTAATCTCTTCATCTTCTTCTTCTGAGAAATCCTCGAACAAATCAGAGTCTTCATAATTTCTTTCCACACTAGGACATTTTGAAGATACAATTCTCTCTGATGTGGATTTAAAGCCTTCCACAATAGCTTCTGAGATCCACTTCTTTAGATCATCCTGAGGAGAACGTTTCTTTTCCCATTCTTCTGCTGCCTCTGCTAGGCATGTTCTGCACAGATTTATACCATTAGGTGCCACTTGGTTGCTATTTATACATCTGTTTGACTTTTCTTTATACTTTCTTGGAGAATCGTCTTGCTATCTTTCTGGGGTGTAATAGAGGTCAATATATAATATATTATAGGCCTATAATGGCACTCTTTCCCCCTCTCCTTATCCCGTATATATGAAGAAAAGAGGTTCACCTATGTCTTCTAGAACGTGATCTTGAGGCAGAGGGAGAAGCCATCTGGGAAAAAAATTATCACTAAGAATATAAACTAAAATCAAGAATTAGTGTTTAAAATTTATAAAAGTTGATAATTTAAAAAATTGATAAAATCCTAGAGACAGGATGCTGAAAATGCTTTTAAGAACTGTCTTTTTAAGGATTTAGCTATTTTAATCTTAGGCGTGATATCGCTTTAAGCGCGAAAGCTAGTTCGCGCATGCGCAGAGTGAAAGACGGACGCCGCTGCTACTGCGCCTGCTCGGAAGACCTGAACACAGAAGAGCACAGCCGGCGGCAGGAACACAGTCAGAAGAGAGGCACTGAGCTGATGGAAGCAGGGGGGAACTCCCAGGTAAGAAAAAGGAGGCTGCAGGCTGATTACTGAGTTCAGATGAAGGGAGGCTGAACTTAATCTGGAAACCCATGGTAAACATGGGAAGGTAGTCACAAAATAACATTTTCCTGTTTGTCCTGAAAAGACAGGAAAATAAGACTGTGGGATAGAAGGAAGAGGGACCTTTTATGCCTTTAGGTTTGTTCAGATTGTTTGAATTTTTCCTGTCCTGTTCCTGTTTTGGGGCAGAGCTACCCATAAGTGATGCTGCCATGATTAGCCAGGAACAGAATTATAAAACACACATGCACAAGCATAAGCATTGCTAGGAACACTCAGGAAAAAACATGCGCATCACATCCTTTTAATTGCCCGTATGCACCCTATATTATCATTTACCACCCATTTTATTTAGACAGGCAAATCAAAATACCAAACAAAGACCCACAGCAGAAAATAGCATAAATTACAGAAAGATGGGAGGGTGGGGAGCTGCGTAATTCTGCATTAAAAATATTTTTTTTGGGTGGTCTGTGATATTTATTTACAGACCAACGCATTTATACTCCTATGCACAAAAGCGTCAAGAGGAAAAAGCTCATGGCTTCCAGCGAATAGGGAGCGCTGTGGTGAACAAGATAAGATTTAGCCTGATTTGGAAAAAGCTGGGAGCAACAGAGGGGTGAACTATTGACTCCTCTATTCATTCTTATCACATACAGACAAGGGACTAATTGTATGTTTTTACATTGATATTGAACATTGATGTAAAATATTGATATTGTACATAATTTTAAACATAATTAAAGTTGTGACAGTGGAATCAGTCCGCAAACAAGAACCAATCACATACTTTTAAACAAGCAACATAACTATTTGCAAAGCAATACTCTCTTATGCCACTAGATGCCTGAAAATAGTCGTAAATCTAAATATATTCCACTGAAATAGATTGTGAAATGCAATAATATTCTAATTACTCATAACATCATTGAATTAATGTGATTACTGATGTTTATATACCAGGCTGATAAATTGTTTAACATATACTAGCTTTGGATATAAAAAGCAGCCAGTGAAAGTACATAAATACACATATGTAAAACATAGTTTGCTCAGAATTTTAATTTTGATAAGATTGAGATGAAGATTGTTTGGAAAGGGAAAATTCCCTTTATGATTTTTTTTGTCCCAATGTTTCAGAATTAAATTTGAATACTGTGTTTATTAACTTTTTTTTTCTCTCCAAATTTAGTAGTTCATAGATACATTTTTTTTTTATTACTTTGTGTAACCCCCTTCAATATTCAGTTGAAGCGTCATAAAAAGTTGGTATAATTACATATGATGCATAAAGAGCCCTGAGCCAGCTCTCAGATCTGTGAGTGGCTTACAACTGCGGTGATTTGAAAGCATTGCTGCAGCTCTAATCCTGCCCCTCAAAGCCGTCAATCAGAAAGCTGAATGCTCAGTTCCTGCTGGCTGATATGAACGTGTAAATGCAGCATGCACATGCCAAATCCAGAATTTGGACTGAGCTCTTTCTCATTCTTTGAATGCAGATATTGCACACAGCCTAGCTCACTAAATAATTTAGGAGTTATGGTATCCGAACACTCTGCATTCGACTCCCAAACGAGGACCACCCTGGTACCCCATTAGAACGTTCTCACTTTGTAACTCAAGTGTGAAACCGCAAGGGAAGTAATTAATAAATGCTTCCCCTGGGTGGGCGCCATTTCGTGTAACCAAATACACGTGTTCGGCAAAAGAGTAGCGGCCAGTTTGTCTCCTGAACGTGGGTACTTGGTCGTCGAGTGCAAGGAACTCTTTTCGGCTAGGCACTCACAAGAAACCTGGTAAAGATTATATCGCTGTCGTTCTACTTCCCGACCAACTATGCGAACAACGTTCGGGAGATGGGAACTACCGACTTGGGGGGAGCATTCGCTCCCTGAAATCAAGAAAATTTCTTGGATGGTTTTCACACAGGAACCCCCGAACAGAGACCAGCCGGGACAATCATTTCCCTGGAACTATTTTGGGCCATCACCTCATGTCCGGCCAATTGGTCAAGCAATCCAATTCTGCCTAACAGATCTGAGTGATACTTGGCCAAGTTGTACACTCAGATCAGAGCTATCTGGGGAAGTAACTTTTGTGGGGTTCCTGGTTATAATGGGCGAACTTTTGGGATATTATATATTTTTGTGTAGGTTTTCCTGTACCTGTGAGATAATTGAGTTATGGTTTTCTCACGCAATTATCTCTCAGGCACAGAGGACCCTGGGAAAGTTAACCCTGTAATGTTGTGTTGGAGACTCCATTTTAGGGCTCTGTACATAAAAGCCATTTGTTACCTGAATAAAAAGAGTTGACTTCCAGAACTATGTCTTGTCTAGTTACTGTGGGAATGGATGCTTGAGTATTTAATGGTTCCAGTCTGGCTGAGAGAAGTAATTAGCGGAGGTAACAGGAGGTCTGCTACAAGCAATTTCATTCCTCCTAAGTAGAACTGCTGCGGGAGAATTTACTATTTATTCAATAAAAGGAGCCTATATGACTAGTGCATTTTCTCTTTACTAAGTATTTTCCTTGCATTAAATTTTGCATGCATCATCTATATAATACATTGATCAATAGGTTGTCATTTTTCCATTGTGTTGCCCTCTAGTGGTAGTCAGTAATATTGCTTTGTATGGTGTGATTTTTTTTTTCTATGTGTGGTGAGTAGTGATGTCCCGAACGGTTCGCCGAACGGTTCGCCACGGACTCATCATTGAGTAAACTTTGACCCTGTACCTCACAGTCAGCAGACACATTCCAGCCAATCAGCAGCAGACCCTCCCTCCAGGACCCTCACACCTACTGGACAGCTCACTAAGAATGCAGCTTCACAATTAATGTAAAATGGATGCTGTCCAGGAGGTGGGAGGGCCTGGGAGGGAGGATCTGCTGCTGGTTGGCTGGAATGTGTCTGCTGACTGTGAGGTACAGGGTCAAAGTTTACTCAATGATGAGTCCGTGGCGAACCGTTCGTGGCGAACCGTTCGCGGCATCACTAGTGGTGAATTCACTGTGACTCTGGCTATGGCATTTTTTTTAGAGACTACATTTGTTTAAAATGCAAATTTAGCACTTTATCAAGTTTCTCTGCTAGCATTGTGTACATCACAAACAAATTGCAAAGCACATACTCTGTTTGCCTTGAGCTGTACAACTCTTTCTTTCAAACTCAGTTTTATGTTTTCAATTACAATTACAAATATTTACAGAACTGTACAATAGGTAAAAAAAATAAAATCCTAACAGGACATGTTTCGAGCGGGTTTTCGGATCCCTTTCTCCTTCTTTGAAGGCAGATATTGCACACAGCCTGGCTCACTAAATAATGAACTAACTAGATGTCTTTAATTTTATAGCAGTCGCAATATGGCTTTATTCAGTTTAAAGAGCAAAATGGCAGAATATACAGCTAATTTCGTGTTTTTATCCATTCGGGAGTTATGGTATCCGAACACTCTGCATTTGACTACTGAACGAGGACCACCCCAGTACCCCATTAGAACGTTCTCACCTTGTAACTTAAGTGCGAAACTGCAAGGGAAGTAATTAATGAATGCTTCCCCTGGGCGGCCACCATTTCGTGTAACTGAATACACGTGGTCGGCAAAAGAGTGGCGTCCATTTTGTCTCCATGGAACTCTTATTGGCTAGGCACCCTGATAAAGGTTATTCCGCTGCCCGTTCTACTTCCCGACCAACTATGCGAACAATGTTTGGGAGATGGGAACTACCGACTGGGGAGAGCATTCACTCCCTGAAATCAAGAAAATCCCTTGCATGGTTTTCGCACAGGAACCCCGGAACAGAGACGGTCGGGGCACCCATTTCCGGTGAACTGTTTTGGGCCATCACCTAGTGTCCGGCCGGTCGAAACTTTACCCCAGTGGCAATCCAGTTCTGCTGAACGGATCCGAGTGATACTTGGCCAAGTTGTACACTCAGATCAGAGCTATCCGGGGATGTAACTGTGGGGTAACTGGTTATAATGGGGGTACTTTTGGGGTATTATATATTTTTGTGTAGGTTTTCCTGTACCTGTGAGATAATTGAGTTATGGTTTTCTCACGCAATTATCTCTCAGGCACAGAGGACCCTGGGAAAGTTAACCCTGTAATGTTGTGTTGGAGACTCCATTTTAGGGCTCTGTACATAAAAGCCATTTGTTGCTTGAATAAAAAGAGTTGACTTCCAGAGCTATGTCTTTTCTTGTTACTGTGGGAATGGATGCTTGAGTATTTAATTGTTCCAGTCTGGCGGAGAGAAGTAATTAACGGAGGTAACCAGTCGGGTAACTGGGGGTCTGCTACAAAAAATTTCATTCCTCCTAAGTGGAACTGCTGCTGGAGGATTTACTATTTATTCAATAAAAGGAGTCTATATGACTAGTGCATTTTCTCTTTTCTAAGTATTTTCCTTGCATTAATTTTTGCATGCATCATCTATATAATGCATTGATCAATAGGTTGTCATTTTCCCACTGCATTTTCCATTAAGAACCAAACACACCTATATAATGCTTATGGTTTTTATGTTTTATAATAGATTAGTAGAAGGTTGGTACATGACTCTATATTGCCCTCTAGTGGTAGTCAGTAATACTGCTTTGTATGGTGTGATTTATTTTCTAAGTGTGGTGAATTCCTTGTGACCCTATCTATGGAAATTTTTGTTAGAGAATACATTTGTTTAAAATGCAAATTTAGTGCTTTATGAAGTTTCTCTGCTAGCATTGTGTACATCAGAAGCAAATCGGCAAGCACATACTCTGTTTGCTTTAAATTGTTTACCAATCACACCTATATATGCTTTTATTTTGTTTTATAATAGGTCAGTTAACAGTACATTACTCTATATTGACCTCTAGTGGTAGTCAGTGATATTGTTTGAGATTTGTTTAAAATGCAAATTTAGTGCTTTATCAAGTTTACAATTTCCTCTGCTAGCATTGTGTACATCACAAACAAATTGCAAAGCACATACTCTGTTTGCCTTGAGTTGTGCAAATCTTTTTTTCAAACTCAGCTTTATGTACTCAATTACAAATATTCACAGCACTGTACAATAGGTTAAAAAAAAACGAAAAAAAAAAAAAAACCCAATTAATCCTAACAAGACATGTTTGGACAGTAGGTGCAGAGGGCTCTGCCCAATCAAGTTTAGAATTTAAAAATCTAATTTCAGATAAAAATTAATACATTAATTTAATTGATACATAGGACATTGATACATGTGTAACCTTAAATTGCCAAAAGTTTATTCTTTTATTTGGTTTCATAGGAGACATTTAAAATAAACCATTTTATGAATACATTTATTATTTACACACAAATGTGCAAGATTTGGATGCTACATGTAATATACCTGTCTAGACGTAACATGTTGCATGCACACGATTTGACTTGAGAAGTGGGCGGAGCTGAGCAGAACTGTAACATGTATGATTAGTGCACAACTCGATAGTTACAGTAAGTTAGGTAGGGATGTTTTGTTCCATTTTAATCCATCTTTCCAATCTATAGTCAGGGTTATTCAATACTGGTAGAATTCTGAGTGACTTCAAAGTAAATGTAATTTTTTTTCTACATTTTTATTTATTTGGGAGATACACATTATACAGCGCAGCATTTATTCATTAAACATACATACGTTTTCACACATCACAAGCAAATGTAATAAAACCATTTTATATATTATACTGCGACAAGTGCCGTAGCACTGTAAGGGAAAGTCAAAGCAGTTGCGGAGACCGTATTATGACTGAAGGAAGCCAAAATGACAGAGCTTGGAGATGAGAAACTCAAGAGGTGGTCAGTTTCTGACTTGTAAGTCCTAACCAAGGGGTAGTGGGTGTGGGAGATAGCACAGAGAATGGTTTTGTTTAAAGCATCCTAGAAAAGTCCTAGGTGGTAGGCTAGTCTAAACTAGACAAGATCAATGAAACTATAAAACTAACACAAAAATCACTATAAACTGAAAAGTACTTAGCTTTAAAAAAAATGCAGCTTCCCCGGTGGTATTTCCCAGCTTACCACCTCTCTTACACAGCACAATACAAAAACAATATTTGGGAATCAGCTAAGCATCTAAAAGGAAAACAATAAACCAAACATTTAAGTGGTCCTCACTTTATGACCTACCTGTTTTACAATGGCTCGCACTTACGACCAGCTCTAGCATGGGGATTCAATGGATAGAATGCTGGTCTGTGTTCTGGGAATTTTCTCCTAACATAGATTAGATTCCCCTAACATAGATTAGAGGGAATACCTAAGTCTACGTTCAGGTAAATTTCCCTGAATAGTGAACTATAGTATGATACAAGATTTGCACTTCTTAGAATGCACTCACAACTGGGCCCTGGGGTGCCTCCCCTGGTAAAGGCTAGGGGGCTATTATTATTATTATTGCTATTTATATAGCGCCAACAGATTCCAAAGGCTATCACCTTCTTTTAGATCCTCCTGCTGCAGGTTGAATCCATGGTAAATCAGAAGTAAATCCATGCTTCAATAAGATTTTTTTGGTACAAATTGGTTTGAAAAATAATAAAGATAAAAATTCTGTCCAATGTTCAATGTCCAAAAATTCTGTCCAATTTCTTCCACTTATGTGGACTTCTTCAGGTTCAACAATAAAATAATACAAATATTTCAAACAAAAAACTTCCATTAGGTGTCAAGCTGCCTAATAGCCCCCAAGTCCTTTAAATAGGGCTAATCCTTTCAGTCACTGGTGGTTCAATGGGTGTGAGCCCTTTACTTGCTCTTTATAGGGTGGTATTCCTCCAATTCTGATGTTTACCAGGTTCCCACCTCACTCCCAGCTGATTCCTCTTGTGCTCATAGGAGATTGTGTTCCGTAACGCCATCCTGTGTTCTGGTGCCATTTTGCTTGCATTCCACCACTCAATCTCATTTGCAATCACATGTTTGCATTGCTCCGCCTATTCATGTGTTTCATGCTGGGACGAAAGCCAGCTTTATTGACAGCAATCACTAGTGTAAGAGGCTCTAGGAAGAGACTAATATTACCATTCACATTTTGGTGATGGGGGTTGGAAATACAGGCACATACATATATAAGGTCTATTTAATGTGCGTTGGGGACTTGGCAATTTGATGTGCCCCGTCTAAGACAAAGATTTGGTTTGCTTTAGTAGCAGTATGGAAGATAGAAGGCATCTTAGGAAATGAGGTAGCTCCTCAGCAGACTGTTTCTGCTGTACCATGAACCTTTACGTTCTTCCACTTGCACCAATTGTCCAGCATCTCCATTCGTAAGACAAGGGCTGTCTGGGTGGCTCATAGTTTCAGTATAGGCTTTGTCATTGTCCCTTGGCACAAATTGATCACATCCAACTTCATGGCCCTGACCCGGCCCATTAGGGAATGGAGTTCCTCTGCGATGATTGTTCAGACGCAAACATGTATTTCATATTACTTAAATGGTTTTAATGTCCTTCTTTGTAGATGGTGTATGGTCATCGCCTGAGGAACAGTCATGTCTGCAGATTGTGGGCCTTTAGGTGTGGCTCAGTGAAAGAGCATTCACCCAATGTTCCTGGCTTGGCTTTCAGGAGAGGGTTGTGACTTGCGCAATTTGTGGCCCTTGGGTGCAGGGCCGGCCTTAGGGGTGTGCGAGCTGTGCGGCCGCACAGGGCGCCATGGACCAGGAGGCACCCTGTGGCCGACACAGCTCACACATGGCCGTGTGACAGGGGAGCAAAAAAAAAAATCTAGGTGGGGGCAGGGCTTACCGAGCGGCGGGAGCGGGGCTTATCGCAAGGTGAAGGCGGGGCTAATACCTACCCAAAGTCCCTGGTAGCTGCTGCACAGGAAGAGGGAAGCAGGAAGGAGTCCCTGCTTCCCCAACAACTAACTGCTTCCACTCTCCCTTCCAGCCATAATGGAAACAGGTAAGTGTGTGTGTGTGTGTCTGCCTGCTTGCCTGTGTGTGTGACTGTCTGTGTGTGTGTGAGACTGTCTGACTGCCTGCCTGTGTGTGAGACTGTCTGACTGCTTGCCTGTGTGTGACTGTCTGTCTTTGTGTGTGTGTGTGTGTGTAACTGTCTGCCTGTGTGTGTGACTGTCTGTCTGTGTGACTGACTGACTGACTGCTTGTGTGTGTGTGACTGTCTGTCTGTGTGTGTTTGTGTGTGAGACTGTCTGCCTGTGTATCTGTCTGTCTGTATGTGTGACTGTCTGACTGCCTGTGTGTGACTGACTGCCTGTGTGTGACTGTTTGCCTGTATGTGTGTGTGTGACTGCCTGTGTGTGTGTGTGTGACTGCCTGTGTGTGTGTGTGTGTGTGTGAGACTGTCTGTCTGTGTGACTGCCTCCCTGTATGTGTGTGTGTGTGTGACCGCCTCCCTGTGTGTGACTGTCTGCCTTTGTGTGTGTGTGTGACTGGCTGCCTGCTTGTGTGACTCTGTCTGTGTGACTGCCTGCCTGTGTGTGTGTGTGACTGTCTGTCTGTCTGCCTGTGTGTGATGGTTTGCCTGTGTGTGTGACTGTCTGTGTGTGACTGAATAGTATATGTGGTACTGCACTCACTACCACAAATCTGAGCCAGGGTGCTTGCTGAGCCGGAATCAAACACCAGATTTCCAAACATTAGTAAAATAATAGGGGTCCAGGCATTCCTTGGTTCAAGACAGGCACTTTATTGAGAACCACAACAGCAACGTTTCGACACCAAAAGGTTTCGACCCCAGCTTGACAAAGACCTTTTGGGGTCGAAACGTTGCTGTGGTGGTTCTCAATAAAGTGCCTGTCTTGAACCAAGGAGTGCCTGGACCCCTATTATTTTACTATCTGTGTGTGACTGTCTGCCTATGTGTGACTCCAATTGTGTGTGTCGCTGTAGCTGTGCTATTGTGTGTGCCTGTATGTGTGCCTATCAGCGTGAGTGTCTGCATGCCTGTAACTGAGTGTGTATGACTGTCTGCTTGTAGAGGAGTATGTGTGACTGTTTGTGTGTGACTGTCTGCCTGTAACTGTGTGTGTGACTGTCTGCCTGTGACTGTTTGTGATTGTGTGCCTGTAACTGTTCATGATTGTGTGCCTGTAACTGTGTGTGACTGTCTGCCTTTAACTGTGAGTTTGGCTCTGTGACTGTCTGCCTG